TTCTTTCTCTTTCTCCTTTCTGTTAGAAAGTGGCCTGGAGAGCCTTTCTAACACATCAGTGGTATTATTCTAACAATAAACTAGAATCTGCTTTACTGCTTCAGTCATCAGATGAAGGTTCAACTTACAGTCCTCTGACACACAAATAATTATTCTTAATACTGGAATCAAGATAGCAAAAATCCCACTAGCATTCTATGTGCAGCTTCCTTCCCTTCTTTGGTTTCAAAGTAGATCACTAAATCCTTTGAATCTCCATCTGAAACCTGAAATGGTCCAGCCTAGACAAAGACTTGCTGCATTAGTGACAATTTGGCCTATGTTACTAAGTATTCTGAATCAATCTGAAAAAAGGGATCAATCATGAGCTTCATGGTTGGTTCAAGATCTTTTGCTGCCTGAAGTGTAGCAGAGATTTGTACCTTCCACCCACCAAATCCCAGATACATAATACCCAAACCATTCAAACTGTTTTGGCACCTGAATTGAAATAGAAAATCCCACTAGCCATGCCCTCTCTTTCTCTTTGGCAGTAAAAATAGAGTAATAACAAACAGAAGAACAAACAGGGTTCTCTCTTTCACAAAACTCAGAATCCATGGCCTGTGTGAGCTAGCCCAATCTACCAAATGATAAACCCAGCCTTAATATGCTACACATTCTTCAAAGACTTTGCTAGATCTTGGAAAATATGACATTTTGAACTACAACATTCACAACCTCCAAGCCAGAATGGCTAATTTTTCCAAGTGCTGTGTTTTACCAGTTGATGTGTGGTAAAATTATCCTCCTCCTCAACCAGAATGAAACCAATGACTAAGATAAGATGTGATGAAAATATTCTTCCTATAGTTTGATCATATATATTTGCCTCCAAGCATGATCAAGATCAGATGGTTATTGTGAAACCAAACACCCAGCGACTTGGCTCTGCTTTAAAATCCATCTTTGCAAGCTGACTGTCAGTTACTGCTTTCCTGTTCCTATTGCTATCTTTGAGAACACAGTCTCAGTGCCTGCCAACTTCTTTCAGTACTTGGACAAGGAACAGGAAGGTGGGGAGGGGTAGTTGTGGAGGAGAGTGAAACTGACTACCTGAAAGGAAAAGAAAAAGGAGGATCATTGTTTCAAATGCCTGATGTCTCCTGGGACCCTCTCATGCCAACCTGGCTTGCTTTCCAAAAAGTTTTGTCCTAGTGTCTCAGCTCCAGTTCATTTTTTCTTCAAGGTGACAGCAAAGGTAAGCAGACAAAGCCACTGACATTTGTTGTCCATCCATTTTCAACAAAGAAGTCACTGTTGGACCCAGAAAGCCAGAATGCATTTCCCCTCCAGACTTCATCATTTTTAATGTATATAATGGATGGTTTTGCAATTGTACAATCTATGCCTGCAAACTGGCAAACTAAACTGATAACAAAAGGGATTTAGCTGAAGATTAGGAAGTGCATACATGGGAGAGAGAGGAAGAGAGAGAAGGGAGCAACAGCTCCCTTGGTAAAGTCTGAGTTGTCTTTACCAAAAGGTAATGCTAAGTGTTGGGCTCTTTTTATCTCCATGGCAGCCATTATGAAGAGAACTGCTAAATCATTATATTGGGGAAGGATGGGAGGAAGTTCCCCAAGGAAGTTCAATCTATCATAAGCAAAAAGAAAGCAGCACTCGTGCATGCTCATGTTTAACATGCACAGGGAAACATGATTTGAGTTTTTGTCCTTGTACCCTTAGGAGTTCTGAAGAAGTGAAAGGGATGCACCTTCCTTTTTTCATCATTTTAAGCTTTTGGCAGGGTGGGAACAGCTTCAGAGATTGGCTCACCTCACTCTCTCACATTGTGTATCTGAATAGGTTTTTGAAGCCAGACTTCCTCACTTGTTTGTTTGGGTATCTGCTGATCTCCCCTGGCCAAGTAAATGCATAAGCACTCATTCCTAGTATGGCTCTCCTCTCCAGGAAAGTGGGATGATTCACTGACAGAGGATGTCTGAGAATACCAGTTCATTTCATTTTTGATAAAGAGTTTGCCAAAATTTACCAATTTCTTCAGGAATGTGATGAAAGAATTTGATATTTCAAACTATGCACATGTGGGAGAAAGTGAAATGAACAGATGCAACCAACCAGGTCCAGGGCTTTTGAGTGCACATCTCTTGAAAGTTTGGCTTTGAATCTCTGCCCATTCATACCAGTTAGAGTTAGAGTTGCCATCTCTTTTTTGGGGGAGGGCAATCTCTGTATAATTAATAGTTATGTGCTAGACAGCTACCATGTGGGAGTCTGCATGGTGCAGTGGTTCAAGCAATGGACTCCAACTCTGGAGGCCTGGGGTCAAATCCCAGATCAGTCATGGAAACCCACTGGGGTAACGTAGGACAAGTCACATTCAATAGCCTTAGAGCAGGGGTAGGCAACCTTTTTGAGCTGGGGGCCAGGTTGCTGTCCCTCAGACAATTGGGGGGCTGAAGCACCATAAATAAATAAATAAATAAATAAATATTTTTTTAAAAAATTAAAAAAATTTAAAAAATGCATGCACACTCTCTCAGCCCCAGAAAAGCCATGGTAAAACCCCTGTGGAAATTTTGCCAAGAAAAGCCCAAGAACAAGTAATAACAACAGTAATCAATATCATCATGGTGGACAGCGGTGGCGGCGGGGGTGTGTGGCGGCAGTGGGGGCAGGACCAGCCTGGGGCTGGTCCAAAGGCCTTGGGGGGGGGTGCATCCGGCCCCTGGGCCTTAGGTTGCCTACCCCTGCCTTAGAGGATGGCAATAGCAAACCCCCTCTGAAGAAGCCTGCCAAGAAAACCCCATGATAGGTTCACCTTATGGTCACCATAAATCAGAAATAACTTGAAAGCAAACAACAACAGACAGACAACGATACTTATTGAATGCAATTGGAACAGGTATGAATTTTATTTCAGTTTTTTTTAATACCTACATTTGCAATTTTCTTTCACATTCAGGCTAGAAATAATGTGAGATTTGAAAAGTAGTAGAAAGTAAGATTGACAGAGTGTTCCATTCCTACCCAGTCCTAAAGAAAAAAGTCTCAGAAGAGGCTTCAAAGTATAGTGAGTGAACATACACAGATGATTTTGCAGAAGGACCCCCCCCCGACGAAATGGGAGGGGGCCTTGGTTGCATCTGCCAGGAAAAGGGCAACGACGCGCGATTGGCCAGGAGGACCGGAAGGCCCGCCTTTCCGGTCACCCTGGCCAATGGGGAGGGAATCTCGCGCCAAGTCTCGCGAGATTTTAAATCTCGCGGGATTTGGTCGCGAGATTTGCAGGGCTATAAAGCCCACCGCTGCCACGTGTTGGCAGCCATTTTAAGTTGAACGAGCAAGGAGCACCTTGCTCGTCCATCCTTGGCTCCGGGCCT